CTCTTCTCGCCCCTCTTGGACTGTGCAAATGAGTTTACCTTTGAACCCGCGCCGGGCATCTCTGGGAAGCATTTGAGATGGTCTCGGACGTAAGGATTTCCAATCTCCTACCAAAGACACAACGTTAAGTACGGTGGTGGCTTGGATACTGATCAGTACTTGCCTGTGTCAATATCTCTTTGATCTTCACTCCATAGCTTGGTTTTCCAAGGGGGCTGAGAGTTTCCAATATATTAAAATCAAACCATTTCTTGAACTTCCAACGTGCCGTCTTGAGACTTTTGTATCCGGGCAACAAAACTCCCAACAGGCTAACAAACGAGCGAATTCGCTCGTACTCCAACAATGACAATGTGGTTCATGCTGAACCTAGTACCATGAGACCCACAAATTGCTGAGTCGCCAATCAGCATCATCAGCTATCACTGCGAGCGTTTGTTGGACCAAAATATCAAACAAGGAGACTTGCCTCTAGACTGGAAAAAGGTGCCCATGATTGATCATCCTGATCATGTGTTTGAAATTCACAGGCAGCGACGATATCCGAGCTGTTTGAGGTATCATTTTCGGCGTTGGATGCACTGCTAGACAAGGAATTCGGGGTGCGAATCTCGTGGTCTTCACTGCTGTTGATGCTTGGTACAGGTGAATTGAAGAGCGCTGAATAATCGCGCGTCCACATGTCTATAAGGATCTGCCTGCGTCTTTCAGAATCAGAATCGTATTCTGGTATGTCAGGAGGGACTACGATGGGTGGGTCGCTTTCAGGTTCAGCATTTGCCGGGATCGATGAGGCGGTGTTACGAATCCTTTGAGCTGCTTTACACCGTCTCAAGTTTCTGATGTGGCTTTCTAACACTCGGTGTTTTCTGATCAAGGCATGCGCCAGTGTGCGATTATTGCACGCGAGGCACATGAAAATGGATTCATTGGGGCCATTTGGTGACTCTACAAAGCCTGAACAACGATAAAACATCAGTTTTCGAATGAAGAAGTGTTGGCAAGCACGTAAGAAGTACAATTATCTGTGGCCATTTGGAGAAACAAGTGGTGAGCCACGTGAATGATTATTGAGAAACTTGTCCTTTGGAAAAAGGGAAACTGTGGTCTCTTTTGGTCGGCCGAAAATTCACCGCAGGTATATCAGTTATGAATTTGGTATCCAACGGTGCTAGACTCAATTTACATCTGCTGGGAATCAAGCCAGCGGGAACGGTGCACAATATCATACATTGTGGAGAGGTTGAGATGATTACGAGAAGTTCAACCGCGTGACGTGTGGTTTACCACCAGTAACTAAATAACCAATACGGTACCCGGGTCACAGCCGGTATTCCTCTGGGTCTTTGCCAAATTACAACCGTGGATTCTCACACCCCACCTGAGCGCGGTCATTCCACGAAAAGGGGGTTTGTGGTGTATCAGCAAGTCTAATTTTCTGACATTCCTACCAATTGGACTTACCCAAATGATGAGGACGCATCTCCTACCCACTCCACTTCCTGTGGTTCAGGGTCTGGGATTAATGTGAGTGATTAGAACTGAGATAGACATAATTCCCATTTGAGTAAATTGCTACAAACATCTTCTGGGACTTTCCGTGAGGCTTTCTTTTCCTTCCATCCCTTCAGCCATCTATAGAATGATCAAAGATATGCTGCCATGTGGGGCACAATATTCACGGTATGTCCTAATTTTCCCACTAGGCTCTCTACTGTATCAAAACTCCAAGGTTTGTCCATCACTAGGAAATCTTTCACTATCTTCCGTCTTTCTTCTATTTTATAGTCAGGAAGTCTGACTGTATGATTTTTCCCATTCCAGATGAAACCTGTGTACCTCTGTTCAGCAAAATCACGATTCTTTGCCATATTTGTCTGAACTCCAAGACATGAACTAAGATTCATAATATCAATCAAAGTTACCCTGTTACCCAGACGTCTAAAAATCATGTTATCATCTACCCAACGGAAGATGGCCCATAATTTAAGTAATTCTCAAATTATGACTCTCCATACTTCCGCCGGCGCGCCAAAAACACCGCAACTCGCTACTCCGCCAAAACCAACTGCTAGATCAACCCAGACCCAATTATAAAAATCTAAAATGCACAGAAACCTCTGTTGACATGGATAAACCAGTAATTGGTGATACACTTTTGCCCCGTCAAATATTGCCAATTCCCATTCTCCAGGATTATCCCAAAAGAACTTCACTGGGGTTGAAAATCCATCCCAGTACGTTTTGTAATTTTTCTTGTTTACAAATGAATTTACTGATGGAATGGGTTTATCGTGTTGTGGATGAGATAGGTCATTAATCAATCTTATCAAACCATTTCCATTAACCGCACTTCCCATGGGATTGGTCCTAAAGAAACCAAACTTCTCATGTACCTGTTCTCTTGTAAAAGGACCTGCTAAACGGCCGGCTTCTGCTTCTTTAAATATAGTTCCTTCAATTTCTTGTCTGGCTAGTACCGCTGACTTGTGGTTAGGAGGTGTGTACCATTTTTCCCCTTCTATTTCATGTTGAGGGATTCCTAGGCATAAACTGTCCCGAAAACCTTTCTGAATATAAGGTATGTCTTCATGTAAACCTACTTCTTCCATTAAAGCAATCCATTCTAACACTCTCATGTGCGTTTTCACTTCTGACGGCCATAACAATTTTACCGGAACTATGAAAGTCTTCCGTTGTGATAGTGGTAGTGGAGTTTTCTTGACAACCTCTTCCTCTTCTGAGGATTTCAAACTAACACTTGGAACTGACTCTTCGTCAACTACATCTCTCTCGATTTTGAAGTCTTCTGAATCAACCTCAACAGGTGAGAATCTCTCTTCACTATTTTTGTTACTATTGGCAACAAAGAAGGAATAACATTAGGGAACTGAATTTTTGTGATTCCATTTCTTTCAGAATTATTTTCTGAACGTGTACCAGTCACAAGATCAATAATCATAAAAAGAAACAAATCAACAAGACAATAAGGATCCAGCAAAATTAATTCAAATCAAAACAATGAATGATTCAGATGAAATCTCGGCAGAACAACATGAGTTTAAAACAAACCAAGAATGATTAGTCACTCTATCATTGAAATATGTGCTGATGTTAAGGCTGCTTACTTTTGTTGTTGGTAGTTACCTCGATTTGCTGTACCATACGGTTTATGGCTACTTCCCTGGGTTGATGAAGCTGCTTGAGTCTACGTATCTGGTGATTGGCTAGTACTTGCTATTGGATTTGCCTCAACAAGATCTACGTGAGTATTTTGGCTTGCATAATGCTATCAATTATAACAATCTCTCATTAGTATCAGAAACCTTCTTAATTGTAGAAGAAGAGGAAACAAGACTAACTCTCTTGCCTGAGTTGGAATGAAATCCACCTCTATTGGATTGTCCTCTACCTCTCTTCTTAGGTTTATAAGGCTTTTCCAAGTACAACTTGCTCTTGGATGATCCTTTTTAAGAAGACATGAATTTTTCATCTTCTTGTTGTGATGCTTCTGACTCTTCTTCATTTCTACCTGTGAAGAAATCAACTCCAAATTAGGAATGACCAGGTGCGTACAGATTGGTCTCATAATATTTCAATTCACCTGCTGCTTCAGTATCCCAGCAAGCTTCTTCTTCTACTCGTTTCGGTTGGCCTTTTGGGAATGACTTCTTCCCTTTTGAGTGTTTTTTTTTCTTCCCCTTCTTGTCGAGATTCTCTCTGTAAATCTCCATTCTAATGGCTAAATGATATCTCAGTGCAACTAACCAGCATTTATTACGCTCCTTAATCTTTTTGAAAATCTTCATATGCCTCACAATATATCTTGCATACTTCTTTAAACCATAGATTTCTTTTGCATAACAAGCTTCAAGATCACAGGCTTGATTGAAATTGCCGTGAGTAGATTGTCTTTCTCAATCAATCTCAGGTCCTATGGAGTACTGATGTTGAGCTTGATTTATCTTCTTTCCGGTTACAGATCTGAAGCTTTCTATATAAGAACATCTGAGAACCAATAACAGGACATAGGAGTTCATCTTCCCAAAGGCCTTTGTCCACTTCTTGGGCAAGTCGGGGAGATAATTTGCTTGGTTGTATCAATCACCGTCACTGGAGTCACTCGAGGAGCTTTTAGATGAACTTGAAGAAGAAGGACCAGAAGAAGATGGAATCAAGTTGTCAGAGGAGGACAACAAATCCGAAGAGAATGAGGAGGACAATGAGTCATCAGAAACTGAGCTAGAGCTTGAGCTCGAAGAAGACGAGTCTGAGTCAGTTGAGGATTCCCTTTTTGTCTTCTTCTGCTTCTCATCTTTCTCATTATTTTTCCGCTTGTTACTCTATTTCAATTCTGCTCGTTTTTCTTTTTTCCTTTCTTTTGAAGACTTTTGGTCATCTTTAGAATCATCAGATTGAAATTCTACACCAAATTTCTTTTCATATTTGGCTTTGAGCTGTTTAACTTTCTTCTTTTTGCCTTTTTCTATTTTCTTCAAGATTTTATCTGCTAACTTCTTCTCCTCTCCTCCCAACTTCTTCGCTTCTTTCTCCAACTTCTTAGCTTTCTTGGCAGCCTTCTAGGCAGCCTTCTTTGCCGCTTTCTTATCTTTCTTTGAAAGGATTGCGACTGGGTGAGTCAGTGAGATTGAACTTGAAGCTACAGCACTAGGGTTTGAAGCTGGCATAGTAACTGAAGGAATGGTTGGGGCTGAACCCACCGGGAAGGAAATCACAGGTGCAATTCCAGGAGCGGTTGAAGTAGCTGAGTTTGTTGGCTGATTGCCAATAGGACTGAGGCCGGAATCAGGATGGAAGACCAATGTAGCAGTTGGAGCTAGCGATGATGGCGCTGGGTTAGATCTAGGAGCTATCTGTGCATTCGAAGAATTTTGCGGGGCTGGAGAAGACGAGCTTGGTTCGTTCCCCGTGTTGAGAAATTTGAGAACCCACGCAACTGATCAGTAACTGAACTTTGTTTGTCTTTCTGACCACAATAGTTCTCCCTGTCAATATGATTTCTCTACAAGGAAACAATTGAAAGTTATTGACATACTAAATTATCCCTTCAAATCGGCAATGACCTTCATAATCAACGAGTAAAACTCGGATAACACTCAAAACGGGATATTTCACCCAGAGCTAAAAAGGATTCAATGAGGGTCTCACAACCTCTCACCTATCCGATTGACAAGGACTACTCGGATCTATGCTCCAATGAGATTTTCCACTCAGAGCTTCTGCTGCATAGCCCAAAGGTCCCCTCTTCTTTTGACGGATTGCTTTCACGTTCTAAAGTTCACGTCTGTGGTATGCGCATCAAGGAACACTTCCAAATGATTTGTATTCTACTCAAGAGAAATCATTGACGGTAGAAAATTTGAAATAGTGACTGAATAAAGAAAGTATGTAAATAAGCTTACAATTGTCCTTCTGAATAAGACTTCCTAAGTCTCTGCTGTTCTGAGTGTTAGATACCTCCAAACCAGTCTCCCGAGAACCTGAATTGGATGGCAGTTGAACACTCCGGTTCCCGCTGACAGATTGACTTTGCGTTGACACCTTCTTAAACTTAATCAACGAGAGTAAGTTTTTCCTACTAGCTTGAGATGATGTAGTCAAGCTTATAGATTTTGGAGAATTTTGACGTGAGATCTCTTCACCGTCTAAATCATTCATCAAATTATGATCAATAGGAATCTTTGATGATGAAGTGAGGGTTAACAGAATTCTTGAAGTTGCTCTCCTATCCCTTTTGGCTGCTTGTTCTAATGTTCTCTTTCTTGCTTCTTCTTTTCTTTCTAAATATTGTTGCGCTGCTAGATTTTTCCAATGATTTTTGAGTTTAGGAAGGAATGAAGTGCCACCCTTTTCTACTCTAAATCCCATGCAGGATGATAATCAAAAATTCTACGAGAAGTGTAGAGCACTCTGAGAGTCTGAAAGTGAAAGAGAAGAGAAGATTATTCTCAGCAGAGATTGAGGGGTGAGAGAGTGAGGGAACTTTGAGGAGGAATGAGAATTCTTCCTTCCGTTTCCCCAAGACAACACACTCTGAGTTACAGAATCAGGATTCCTGCACGCTCCTGTATTGCACGTGATCTTATCTAGACTCACATTGTGGAAATCAAATCCAACAATGATATTCAACATGTGCTTCATCTCATCTTTTTATGTTGGAAACAAGAATCATTATCAAGTCTTTTATTTAACTCACTCTTCAACTTATATTCACAACTTCATACTAATAACATTCCACAGATTTACATATAGAAAAGCAGAACTTCTGAAAATCTCACTATGGCTCATTGGCTTTTGAATCAATATTATTATGAACAATTCTATTTCTTCAAGTATTCATTATCTTATTACAACAACTGGGACATCTACATCTACATGTAAATAAAAACAAACAAAATAAAACAATACAAGCGTTTCTCAAATAGTCAAATCAGAATATTAGGTTTACGGGTAAAAGTCGTGTAAAGGCGGAAGTGGTCAGGATTGTCCTGCGTAATTTTTTTGTAGATTTTTTTCAGGTTGAAGGCAGCTTCGCAGCATCTTAGTTTCATCCATCCTCCTAGGTGTTGATCCTTACCTTCTCCGGCTCAGCCTACGCTACACTGCGTAGGAGTTCTACACCTGGTGACTCCACTGGGGCGATTCGAAACAACTTTTTCCGGCTTTGCAGGCGCTCATCCGTCAACATTGTTTCTCAACATCTCAACTGGTCAACTTTTCTCAATTCATCAATTTATGAAATTCAATTCAATAATTATATCTCTTCACTACATCTTTGAAATTCATACATTTCTCAAATCTCATCATGTTGTCTCAAATTAAAGCTAGTCAAGGATCAGTTCAGAATCCTTTGGAGGAAGCTGGTAGTAAAGGCCGTAGTAGTGAAGTTCCAGAAGGGTCTAAAGGAGTAGAGAAGGGGTTATACAGGGAGAAGAAAGAAGTTGAGGATGATTCAGGGGATGGTGTCACTGCAAGAGGGGTGGGGGAAACAATAAAAGAGGAGTTTCCAATGGAGTATGAAGACGGAAGGTTGAGAGAGGAGAACCTTTCAATTCAGGTGGCGGAGGAATACTTGATGGAGGCACGGCTACAAACGGAACATATGGAGAAGGTTTTGAAAAAGTTGAAGGAAACAAAATTGAAGAAGGAAGTAAGAGAAAAGCCAAGGAAGGAAAGTAAAGGGAAAGTCAGGCAGAAGTACTATGGAAGCAGTAGCAGTTCAAGCTCAGATAGCAGTAGTGAGGAGAGTTCAAGCTCGGGGGAGGAGAGTGAAGTGGAAATCAAGCAGAGGAAGAAGAGCAAGAAAGGGAAGAAAAAAGTAGTTAAAATTGAACCCCAAGATTCAGAATTGTGGTTTGGTCAAGGTGATGATGTCAAGAAGTTCTTGCGGGATTTTGAGGTTGCGGCACAGGTTGATGGAGCAAGCAGTGTGGACATGGCAATGCAAGTCTGTGAATTCGTGAATGGGAAGGATTTAAAGGAGGAAATTAAAGAACTCAAAGGTTGGGGAGAAGGAGACTGGGATTGGAAGTTGTTGAAGATGGAAATGAAGGACCGGTAGGCGTCAATTTGGGAGGCGCCTAAGTACACAGTGGAAGATTTGAAGGAGCTAGCCTTGGATTCTGAAAGCAATGGAGGAATTGATTCAAACTTAGAGTTTGAAGGCTTCAGGCATAAATTTGATAGTATCCTAGTCTATCTCAAGAAGTACAATTACATTGACTCCAAGTACGAGATATGTAATTACTATTACAGAGCATTCTTGGATAGTATGCAGAAGAAGATCAAGGAGAAGTTAAGGAGTGATAGGGATTTGAGAAAGACAAAGGATGGAAGGCATCGGCTGCCGGGGTGGAGAGTACTTAAGAAGACAGTTCATACGGTGTTACAAGAGGAGGTAGAATTGGTAGTTGAAGAGCTAAGAGGGAAGAAAGAGGTGGAGACCAAGAAGGAAGAGGAACTCAAGGATAATGTGGTACAGAAGGATCAAGAGAGAAGAGGAATGAAGATGGAAGGTTTAAACAAGAAGATTGGAGGCAAGGTGTCAGACAAGGCTACCATCAACGAGTTGGTTTGTCAGTTTGCAGCATGGAGTGGGCAAGGGATGAATCGGCCTTTGGCTACCAACCCAAACCGTCAATTCCACGGCGGGTTCCGGAATAGTTCGTATTCTGGACAACAAAACAAATTTGGTCCGCCAGCTCAAAACAGAGGAGGACCTGAGCCTCAGTTTAATTCTTCAACTTATTTCCAGGGAGGTCAACAGGGAGGACAGTTCAATAACAATGCTTCCGGACCTAACAATCAAACTGGTGGGCGGTATGTGAACTTTGGAATGAATAGAGGACAAGGAGGATATGGCGGAAATAGGGGTGGATATGGTGGGAATCAAGGTGGTAGAGGAGGTTAAAACTCAAGTTCCCAATGGAATACTTCAACTGGCCAGTAGCAAGGCAACAATGGTAGCCAGCAGCCATCCAGCAGACCAGCAGGACTACCTCCCAGAGGAGAGTTCCAACAGTCAAACTTACAAGATGGTCCTTTGATGTGCTATTACTGTGCAAGAGAAGGACACGGTCATAACAGGTGCCCAGATAAGCAGCGGGACATAAATGATGGATATGTTACCGAGCATAATAATACTTATATATTGTCTAATGGTGCGGTAATCCGGTGGAACAGTAGTAGACCTATTAGAGCGGTAGTTGCAGACTATTCCTTGCAAGTGGAGCAAGCAACAATTGCAGCAAAGGGGGCACAACATCAAAGTGCACCTCCGGCGGAAACAGATAAGGCTGTAGGAGTACCTGAAAAGACTGTTGTTACCGGGATATTGACTAAAGATGAGTCTGGTGGATCTCAAATTCAGGAACTTAGGGCTAGCTGTGGCATATTGGAAGGATGGAAGGCTCCTGGAATTACTAGTAAAGGATTTAAGGCTGCAATGGCCGGGGCAGGAACTAAGGTTTACAATGTAAAAGTGAAAAGAGGAAGAGGTAGCGCTGAACCGGCAGAGGCGCCAAAGAAGAAGAAGGTTACAATGTCGAAGGACAATGAAGATCAAGGAGATGAAACAATGGAGTTGGCTGAAGATGAAGATAGTAGTGAAGGTATCCCGTTGGCAGAATTAGAAGAAAGGAAGAGGCCAACTGTAGTAGCACCAAAGATTCAGAAGAAGGATATAGTTATGGGAAGATTTGAGAGACCGGTGGAGAAAGGTTATGAGGGGGTGATGGATAATGTGGTGACAAAGATAAAGAGGACCAAGGTGGAGGCAGAGGTGGGGGAACTGTGTGCTATCTCACCAGCATTGGCAGAGCATGTCAAGGAGCAGGTTTCCAAATGGCGGGTGGTTATTCCTAGGATCATCAAGCCATTAAGAGCAGCCACTGGTGGATTAGATGAAGAGGAGTCTAGTTCAGAAAGTGAAGATGATGGGGAGGATGTACTGTATTCTTGTCCTTTATGATATTTGGACATTATGCTCGGTGGAAAGAAGAAAAGGGTTAAGGCCTCAGTTGATTCTGGCTCACAAATCAACATCCTTCTGGGATCAGTAGCGGAGGAGTTAGGGTTAACAGGGTTTGTGTCTATTAGATCAGGAGTTAGAGGCATTGGAGGACAAAGGACAAATTTAGTTGGAATTGGAGAGGCTATAGAGGTGGTAGTAGGGACTAGAGTACAGGGTGTGGCTCACTTTTGGATTGCCAAGGAGAGTAAGTGTCCAATCTTATTGGGACGGCCCTTCCTTATCGACTTTAGAGCAGGAATGGAGTTTGAGAAAGCAGTCGGGGAAAGGTTGACCTTGAAGGATGAAAAAGGTATCTGGACAAGGTTTACTATTTGTCAGCCAGATGAAGGAGACTGGGAAAGGTAGTTGGATCTTGGGGAGAAAAGAACTACTATGGTGGAGGTCAATTTGGCTCAGCTGCAGCAAGGAGTTCAAGAGGAGGATTCAGGCTTTGTTCCAAGCTATGTGGAAGAGGTGTCTGGTGAAGACAAGTCTTTTTTGTAGAGGATGTTGGTGAAGACATGGGCGTTCAGTATATAGCAAATCCAAGTTACCTTGGGCGTCCATCACCAACTATTGAAGACACAGGAACTTGGTTTTGTATGAATAATAATTTTAATTCTCAGTCTCATTTTCAGTCTCAAGGTTCTCCTCAAGTTTCTTGTATTTCATCATCTTTGGTATCAAGGGAGGAAGAGCAAGTGGGAGAACTTTTGGAGGATAGTATATATTTTGGTTCAGAGTTTAGTTCTTCTTTTAGTTTTATTGAATCTTCTTTATCTCAGTCTCAATTCTCAAGTCGTGGTGTACAATTAGAAGATTATGGCGGAAGTATGCAGGAGTTAGAAAATGGAATCAGGGGAGGTTTACTGGAGGAAGAAGAATGGGAGACGGTGAAGGCACTAAATGAAGGTTTTGGCATCAGACAGCAAGCAGAGGTTTGCGAGAGATGGAGAAGGGGAGAGTTACTATGTTTGGCGGCAAAGTACAAGTCAGTGGCAAAGAATGTTGGGCCGGTCAATGCAGCTATGCCACAAAGTCTCAATCCACCCTTACAAACACCACCAATGTCAAGGGATCCATATGAAACACCCTTGTCAATGAATCCTCCGGACTTTGTGGAGACAAAGAAAACTACATTGGAGCGGTTGAAGATGTGTAATTTTGGGCCTCAAGATTGGTTAAGTGATGAAGAGATAAAGTTATTATTACATGTAGTAGTATTAATGGAAGGGGCAATTGCTTATTGTGAAGAAGAAAGGGGTGTTTTGAAGCATTCTTATGGATTTCCCTATGCCATTCCAGTGGTGGACCATCAACCTTGGCAGAAGAAGCCAATTCCAATTCCGGCAGCTATCAACCAGAATACATTGAATTAATCAGACAACGGCTAAGGACGGAATTGTATGAAAAGTCAACTTCAAGCTATTCAAGCCCAGTATTTTGTGTGAAGAAGCAGGATCAAAAATCAGGAGTGGTCCATGATTTACAAGAATTGAATAAGGTTACCATCAAGGATGCAGGAATGCTTCTGGCACCGGAAGAGTTTGTGGAATCATTTGCAGGAAGAGCATGTTATGGCTTAGGTGATATTATGGGAGGATATGATGCAAGAGAGTTGGCAGATGTTTCAAGAACCTTAACAACTTTCGAAACACCATTGGGAAGATTTCAACTTACTAGATTACCTCAAGGTGCAACAAATTCAGTAGCAGTATATCAAGCTCAGGTGATGTGGATTCTTCAAGATGAAATTCCACAGAATGTAGGTATCTTCATTGATGACGGCGGAATCAAAGGTCCTGATTCCACCCATGGTGATGCGGTGCTGGAAGAAAATCCTGGTATTAGGTGTTTTATATGGGAATATGCGGTTACTTTAGAAAGGGTTTTGTTTAGGATTGAAGAGGCTGGACTTGCAGTTTCAGGGAAGAAGTTTGCAGTTTGTGGGACATGTGTTCTGTAAGGAGGGAAGGACAATATCAAAGAAGAAGAAGAACGAGATTCAGAATTGGCTGGTTCCCAGAAACACTCCAGAGGTTTTGGGATTTCTTGGAATGTGCATATATGTGAGGATGTTCATTAAGGATTTCTCTAAGATTGCAGCACCTATGAGAAGGTTGACTAGGAAAGATGTGGAATGGGATTGGGATGAAGAGCGTCAGAAAGCTTTGGATAAGCTGAAACAAATCATTGGTGAAGATATTATGTTGAAGGGATTGGAGTATGGGGAAGGCGCAGGCAAGATTATCTTGGCGGTAGACTCAAGTCAAATGGCAGCAGGAGGTGTATTGATGCAAGAAGATAAGCAAGGAAAGGCAAGGCCGGTGTTCTACGAATCATTGGTGTTTTCACCGGTAGAAGCAAGATATTCTCAACCCAAACTAGAACTATGTGGTGTTGCAAGAATACTTAAGAAATTTCATAGCAAATTGTGGGGACAACACCTTGAGCTTCAGGTAGATGCAAAGTCTTTGGTAGAAATGATCAACAGGCCGACTTTACTAAATGCACCAATGCCTAGATGGGTGGCATTTATTCAATTATTTTCCTTTGATATTGTTCATAAGTCAGGGAAGAGTTTTGGGATGCCAGATGGACTTTCACGAAGACCAGTTGGGGAAGATTCAACATCCGAGGGAGAAGATTTCGATGAAGAAAAGGAAGATATTACTTCACATGAGGGTGTCCCAGTTTCTATCATTGATGATGATAATGAAATGCTACCTTGGACTCAAGAAGGTTGATGGGCAACACTTGAAGAATATCTAAAGAGTTTTCATAGACCTCCAAATCGTTCTGATGAAGATTTTCAATGGATACAACATAGGTCCAAGACTTTCTTCATGGAACGTGGAAGAGTAAAGAAGAGGGGAATACCTTGCGCAAGATTAGTAGTGTCAAGAAAAGAAGGTCAAGAGATAGTGTTACAAAGATTACATGAAGAGATGGGAAAAGAGAGGTGTAGAAGAAACTTATAGAAGATGCTTGGTTAGATTTTGGTGGCCGGAGATGAAGGAAGACGTGAGAAGATGGGTTATGTCTTGTGAAGCTTGTCAAACAAGAAGCCCTAATACTCAAAAGGAAAGAGGACATGTTACGGGGGAAGCTACGGTGTTTGGAAGGGTTGGTCTAGATGCTGTGCATATTAAGAGCAGTAAATATAAGTACTTGATTGTGGCAAGAGATGATCTTTCAGGATCGCTTGAAGCAAAACCTTTACAAAAGCTAACTTCAAAGGGGGTGGCGGACTTTATTTTGAAAGAGTGGATTTGGAGGTACGGGGTGGGGAAGTGTTTTACAGTAGACGGAGGACCAGAATTTAAAGAGAATTAAGAGAAGCAGTGAGTTTATCAGGATCAAAGTTGGGGGAGGCTACTGCTTGTTGGCCGCAAGGTGATGGAATGGGAGAGCGGGGACACCAACCGTTGAAGAATACCTTGCTGAAAATGTGCGGTGAAGATGGAAGGAAGTGGGAAGAGAAATTACCTTCAGTGTTATTTTCAGACAGGATTTCCACTAAAAGGACAACTGGATTGTCACCTTATGAAGTTCTTTTTAATCAGAAAGCAATTTTATCAGTGGATGTTGAGGCCGGGACTTTTCTTGGAGTGGATTGGGACAAAGTTACTACTAGAGAGGAGTTATTAAGGGGAAGAGTGGAGCGGTTGGAACAAAGGGATCAAATGTTAAAGAAGGCTTATGACAGGATGATGAAGACGAGGACAGAGGGTATTATATATTGGAATAAGAAGAACTCACATAGGTTAAGAGGTGCTTTGGAGGCTGGGGATTTGGTCTTAGTGTATAACAAAAGTTTGGAATCCCAATGGGGGAAACTATTCAAGGATGGGTGGAATGGACCTTATAGGGTGAAGGAACAATATCCAGCAGGATCTTATATTTTGGAAGAATTGGACGGCACAGTGTTAAGTAGGCGGGTGGCAGCAGACCATATCAAGACATTCTTTCCGAGAGGGGTTTCAGAGGTTTCAGTTCAAGAAGATTTCCAAGAGGAGGAATTGGCAAGTGCAGGAAGTTCAGAATAAAATAAAGAAATAAAAATAATTCTCTTGAAAGTTTTTCTTTTTTTGTGTTGGTTCTTGTGTATATGTTGGGTTGTTTTCTTTTGTCTGTTCTTTTCTTTGTCTTTAGGGAGGACTGTATTTTGTATTGGATTGGTGAATTTAGTGTTAAAGCGGGCGTAGTCTGGTGGATTTTCTTTATTATCACTTTCTCCTTATCTTTGGCAGTGTGGGATAGGATAGTTGAGGATGGTGGATGATGGCAGGATGGATAGTTATCAAAATCAAACAACATAAGTAGTGGGTAGGGGCGTGCATAACAATCATCAAATCAAAATTGAACATTCAAATCAATCAAGCTGAATTTGGAATACTACTTAAAATCAATTCCTCTTCTTTCTTTCTTTTTTCTTTGTTCTTTCTTTTCTTTTTTCATATACTTCAAATTATAAATTCAATAGCAGGGGGCACGCACGGGATGGGTATAAGTTACACAATTAAATTCAACAATCAGTGAACCTGAACAATAAAACAACATTAATGGATTACTGCTATAAACAATTTTTGTGTTTTCTCTCTTTTTTCTTTAGTTTTGGTTATTTTCAATTCAAGTTTCTCCTTATCAGTTTCTTTTATCTTTGGCCGTGTTTGGTACAGGTTGAACAGGATGGAGGATAGATGGCGGGCACGGATAGTCAAAACAACTCAGAATGAAATTACAAACAATTAAATTGAATTATAACAAATCAATCAAATTCAATCAATCATATCAACTATTAAAATAAGTTACATTCAACATTAGGGGTACACAAACTTGAACACCCGACCTTAAAACCCATGGACAAAACCCATGACAACCTGATTGTTTTTTGGGTTTTGTCCATGGGTTTTCCGCTTTCCCATTGGACAAAACCCAAAAACCAATCAGGCTGTCATGGGTTTTGTCCATGGGTTCTTAGGTTGGGTTTTCATGTTTGTGTACCCCTATTATATCAGAATATTTTTACTATCAAGATGGTTTAGCGGAGTGCGGGTTATGTTTCTCTTTTCTCTTTTTCTTTCTATATATGGGGACAGGTCAGGATTGTTGAGGATGGAGGATTAGCTGGCTGGTATTAGGGTATTAGTGTTACAAATTTTATCAAATCAAAGTCATTAAATCAAATTAAATTACAACAAACTTAAGACTGTAGTAGGGGGTTTGGGGAGAGGTTGCAAATTATCAACAGCAAAATCAAAGCAGCAACAAAATTACAATACAATTACATATAAAATGGTCACTACGACAGCATGGTCTTTTCTTATTTTCTTTTTTGGTATGGGTTGCAGACAAGTGGTATGAGTGGATGAGGAGGTTGGATTGTGTAGGACAGCTATGATGATTACTATCATTGAAATTTTTATCTGAGGTGTCGGCGGTCTTGATAGGGGACTGGAAGCTTAGTATGGGATTAAAAGACAACACAACTCTGGGATATTTACTTATAGCTTAAGTTTTGAAGATAGTTGATACATGTATTCTTGCGATATAGTACGAGTTAGTATCCGGGACAGACGCCGGTGTGCATTACATTAGTGTCAAGGCCTAGTTTAAAGGTTACTTGGGAATGGGTTTTATTTAGTAGTTTGGATTACGGGAATGAGAATTATGGACAACACATCAAATAAGTATAGGTGCAAGTGGATGGAAAGGAGTTAGTGGAATATTTTAATTTAGTATGATGTGGAAGGTTACTGTTTAAAATGTGTCATATAAATCAAATAAAGGTGGACATAGTGGTTTTTCATTTTAGTTGAGGGAGGTGGTTCAAGAATTTAAAGAGTAACAGTTAAAAGGCAACTCGCAATCATTCCAATAAAATTGGTTCTTTATCATTATGCATGATTTTTTCTAAGTAATTTTCCTACAACTTCATTATACATAAGATTTTTTTGGTTTGATATTTAACGAGAAACCAAAACACAAGTCACAAGTCAAGAAGCATCAAAAACAGTATAATTACAACATAAGTAGAGAGGTCATAGAAGTACAACAAAAGATAACCAATACAAAATCTTAATCTTGATTGAAAGCACGTTTTTTACCCTTGTCAGAAGAAGAAGGATACAGGATAGAATGAGCAACAAGAGATTTGAACTTTCTAATAAGACGGACTCTAGCATCGACCTCTTTTTCAGAATTGGGATCAAAGACAGACCGGTGTTTATACAAACTCTCAACCATAGATTGAGTAAGACTAACAATGGGATCAGAGGAGTAAGTAGAGGGAACATATCTACCGACACGTCTAATTTCTTCAGATAAATCTACTTTTTTAGCAAACCAGAAAAGAACAGCTTCATCACCATACTTCTTAATACATTCTTCAATCACATCATCTAAAGAAGCAGCGGGAGCTACAGGTGGTGCAACAGGGGTAGTGGCTTTTGGAACAGGTTCTGGTTCTAAATCAATAACATTGGTAGATTCTAAATTAATAGCATTGGAAGGAAAAGTAGGAGGAGTGTCATCAACCTTGATGGGAGGTGATTATGGTCGATTTGGTACAAATGGTGTAACAAAATGGTTGAGAGCTGGAGGTGAGGTCCTGGGAGGTGGTTGATGGGGCGTGTGAGGTGTACTCTTTGGTGTCTTAGGATGAGGATGATAGCAAGGTTTAGAATTAGAGGAACTAGGATTTGGGGCAAAGTTAAGAGGAGCATCTCCCCGATGGTTCCACATTTGAATGTCTTCCTTCCATTTTAAATGCAACTCATGATCGGTAGCCTTGTCGGGTTTAGAAGTCCAGGCCATGACGCAAGCACGGTGTTCAGCGGCAGGCTCGTTTTTGTTGCCATCAACGTAAGGGCTTGAAAGGAGGGGCTCAACAAGAATGTGGCCGTTGGAATTGGTTAAGGGAGGCCAGTCTGGGGATAAAGAGAGAGAGACAAAGAGGACACAAGGATGTTATGAAAAAACAAATAGAGAATGCAACAGTAAACATCAGTAACATTCAAGAATATAAAGATTGAAAGAGCAAACAATGACTTACCACTGAACCTGCCATGTTTGGCGCATTGGTCACAACTTTCAAGGGGAGGAGGTAAACAAGTCAAGCGAGGAGCCAAATCATAGACAATTCAGGAGCAAGGAATATCATCCTCTATGCAGCAAGCACACTTTGTGGGATGAGGTTTGTAAGGGACCATTGTATTATACTACATACCTCACAAAACAACAATGTTAGAAAGCAAGCAAGTTCAAACCAGGGCAACAAGAGAAAGCTTTGAAACTATAACCGTACCTAGTTTTATAAAATCAATGATCAAGTGTAAATCACAAAATTGATATCCAGGAGCTTGGAAGATCACAGAGAACATAAATAATAAACTGATACTGTTAGAGATCAAATCAACTTAAGTCTAGCCGATTATTGTAACACACCAATTAACAAAGTTCAAACAAAGTAGTTAAACGTTGGCAAACTCGTCACTATGATAAGAACAATCAGAATCAATAATAGTGAACAAAACCAAAGAATTAACATGCTTTTAAAAGAAATGTGATCAACAAACAAAATGAAGAAGCTCTATTCAAGACAAATAGTAAGTTCGGGGAGGATGTGGAAATCAAAAAAGAAAAACTCTCAAATCTCATCCTTTTTACACATATGATTTTGCTCAAAGAGCTCATTTTATACTCACAAGCGCTGGCAATCAACTTATGATCTTGTTGTGAATCAGATCAGAGCAGTTTTTTAGGCAATTTTAATTCAGCTTTTTTATTTATTTCATTCAAAATTTAGAAGGATAACTAGCATACGTCAATAAGCACAAAAAATTCAAGATGGATTAGGTAAAAAAAAATAAAAGACAAAAACAAAAACAAAAACAAAATACAAAGATGAGTTAAAAAAGAAGGAAATCAAAACAGAGGCAACAAAAGATTAGTCGAGTGGAGGAAATAGAGAGAATTTGGGCGGAGAGAATGATTAGAAACTTACCTATCAAAGATACAAATCAAAAGAACAAAATAGAAAAGAAAGAAGTTAATTGATAGAAGGTTCTAAAAGCCAAGAGATAAATAATTAAAAGATAAAGAAATGATAGTTAGTATTAGGTAAAAGAAAAGGCAGGAGATAATATAATAGAAAGACTCACATTAATAGCTTTAAGTGGGTCGGAGCCTAAGATTTGAACGGAATTGGTATCAAGCTAAAAAGTCAAAATAGGACTAAAAAAAGAACAGAATAAGTTGGTATCATGTGGAGAAGGAAGGAGATAAGAGAGAAGAACTTACCTGGTATTCAAAACAAGCAATGGAAGGAAAAGATTGACATCGAAATGAATAAGGGTAGTGGAGAAGGAAGGAGATACCAGGGAAGGAGTTAAAAAGAATCAGCCACCAGGCAAAGTTGGCTTGCCTTGTGATTGACTTTTCACAGTGCAAGAACGTAAAGGTCATGTTGAAGGGCCCCACATTAATCCAAGGTCGTGAGTGCTCTAGGTTTCTGCCTTGTGATAGGTTTCTGCCTTGTGATCCTTCTGTCTTACTCATCATCATATCTGTGGCTATCTGTAGTCTCAGGTCTCACCACCATCTCAGCTCAGGATCCCTATCTGACAGTCTCTGCTCTGGATGTTACCTGTCTCAGTACCATTGCTGAAAATGTTCAAGAAAATTTGGAACACCAAGGTAATAGCATCTGGCCCTCATTTTTGAACTACTTTTCACCACTTGAAACTCCGAGAAACCCAAGCCTAGTTTCAGAAGCAAAGATGATTGCAGGGTGTGTATCACAGGCATTCCATCTGATGCTTGATAAACCCACAGCAGATCACCACCAAGGTAGCCAAGCAAATGTTCTGATTGCTGCTGACATTGAAACTTTGGAGAGAACTTTGGCGACTCAATGGAAAGCTGTGAAAACAACAATTTGGATGGGTCAAATGTGATGCTAAGAAGGCTGGAATGTAAATTGTTGGAGATGTAACTTTCTTTGCTATTGATCAAAAGGAGTTCGATAATTGAAAACAAGGTGACAGAGTGGATGTCAGCAACCCCAACAATGGCAAAGTGGTTAATTGATGACATGGATCAGAAAAAAGGCACCTGGGCTTGTAAGGAGACTAGCAAGCAACAAACAAAAATCAGGTTGATGTATTCCAATTTGAAGCCTGGAAGCCTGGATGCTGCAAGAATGAAGCTAAACAAAACAGCCCCACAAGGTTTCCAGTATACTAAACAAAAGGGGAAAATTGAACAATCTCGGCACAAGGAAAGACTATGTTACCAATCACTCATAACTTATCTGACCTTTGGCCCCATCAGATTCTTCAAACCTAAGAATTGGAAAGCTGGAATTAATGAATTGATTCAACTCCTAGAGCTCCCTATTCCTTTGGTTGAAAACAAAGACGGTACGGAGTATCATTGGGCGCAACGTTCTTGGAACCATCTGGCCTGCGTCATCATTCAAGCCCTCAAGCACCGCCAACATAGATGCCTCGGATTGAAAAATCCGAGGCATCATCGGATGGAAACCCTCGGACAGGTCTTGTCCGAGGATTTGATCCAAGGTATTTTTTGACGCAAAATAATACCTCGGATCAAATCCTCGGAAAGATTTTGTCCAAGGATTTGAGTCCGATGATACCTTGGATTTTTCAATCCAAGGCATCTTTGTTGGCTGTGAAGGTATCACCCCTAGTTGATGGAAAGCCCTCCAGCTACAAGGCCAGCGGGCTACAGGATGCCATGGGAATGTTCAAGCCACAGGTCCTGGCAGAGGCTATAGTTTCAGATTTTTTTGAGGAAGCTTTAAACCCAAGGGGTGCCCTTATGCTTGATGGAAATCCTGCACCTGAAAGAACACCCGGCTTATGTGAACCAGAGCCAAAAGAATTGATTGAGGTAGCTGCTCATCAGGGTCAAAACATGATTCCCAAACTACCTGCTGGGGTACATATCTGTTTAAGAAAGGGTAGGGCTGATTTATGAGGTGCTAGAAGTCATATATTTGTTGAATGTGTGTTGATTCTCACACTTCTCCCATGACAATACCTCTTCCAGAAATTTATCTCTTTTGGGTGTTGCTCCACTTCAAGAGCCCTTTCTCATTGTCAAACAGAAAAGTGTTCAATTTTCCAACGCCTTTGTAAATACTATTTCTTGGAATGGCAATCTAGGATGACAATTCAGTGGCTTTTCATTGTTTTATTTTTATTGATTACTTGATCAAAAAATCAGATTGGGTCCACGCATCTGGTAAGTGATCATTTACCTTGGCCACATCATTCGTCCAACACCTTCTTACTTTTGCTTTTTACCAACCAAAAATGAACATTGTTTTCCAAAAGGATACCAAATATGGTATTAGCTTTGGGAAAACAATTCACCATCAACATTCTTCCACACCTCAAAACTCAACTTTCCTCTTTTCAAGTTCCCCCCATCTTGTACTTTCCAGAACTTCATTGAAAACTCTATCTTCAACACCTCTCTTTGGCCACTTTCACCTACTAGACATCTTGACAACTTCTCATTGTTCTTCTGTTGGTCTTCCTGACTTTCCTAATTCTTCTGTTGGTCTTCCTGACTTTCCTAATTCCAGGAAGTCTCTCTTAAGCCTCAAGTGGGAGGAGATGAAGGACCAAAACAGTTACTCTAAGCTGGTTTACTAAAAGGAATCAAATCATTAGGTTATACAACACTTATAGATGAATTGGTTCCAGTTCAAATCAAAGCAGAAGATGATTCACAGATTGGAATCTTACAAAATCCTAAATCAGTTTCTTTCACTAATCAAGAATCAACCAAACTGATTGGTAAACATACTAAGGATGAGAAATTGATCCTTACCATTGGTGGGGATCATTCTTCCAAAATTTGGTGTGTTCACTAATGAAATACCCAGCCCTCTATCTTAACTTACACAACGGGATATAAAGACACCAGTTTCAACTGAAATTCATGGCCACTTCACCATAACCGGTAACTTATCAAGCAAACACAAGTCAGACAGCATATGGACGGATTGGAATAAATGTAGTGAAGGAAGAGTTATTGATGAAACATAGAGTTGAAGAGAGAATTGTCCGGATTGGGAAAGGAGAAATGAAGTTTTTCTACCTATTTGTACTTTTCATCCATTCACAATTGTTGTTTCCTTTCTCTCTATCTGAACATTTCATAGTTCATTTCCTCATGTCCCTTTTGACATTGCCGTTTGGGATAGGTTAGCTCTCCCATAGTTTTCTCTTTATCTTATCAAACCTTATATTAATAACTGTTGTTATCAGGTTCAAGTGTCTTCATCTCACTCTGACTAATTATCATGAGCACCAGTTTTAATAGAACTTTTCTGCTTCACGTATTATCAGTACCAGGGTACCAAGAGCTAAAGAGCTAAAGATGGTTTTTAATCACAATACTGGAAAGAGTTCATCATCTAGAACACTACTCACCAATCAACATCTAGTTTTGAATCAAAGTTGAAGTCGATTCACTCAAAAACCTGCTGAACATTCCAAGGTTCCTATGGCAGCTAACTATCTGTGAGCTACTAGCTTCTTTTAGGCTAGCAAATCACTAAGGAAAATGTATCAACTTGTAGGGATTATGATCTACAAGGTTTAAAGGCGGAGAAATAAGGTTCAGGCTCTATACTTGTAACAAACAAGTATAGACTGCAGTGAGAGGACCTTTAAAGAAAGGCTTTTCAGGGATTTGGGTGAGGTTTTTACTATTATTGATAGTAGAAACCGTGCACTGAATCTTCAGTGACTTACACTTAATCAATTATCTTTCTGCTAGAAATAAATTGATTAAGAACACTAAGTTCTTTTATAGTGTTTTAGTACTTTACACTCTGACTAATAGAGGTACTACCACTGCACAAAAATTAATATTTTCCGTGTGGAAAAGAAAAACAAAGGCAGATTTGCCTGTAGAAAACTCCCAACAAGACAAAAAATGGTAAATATATACAAAGAGGGCCATAATATTTCTACTTGCTTCTTTCTGTTTCTTTGATCTTTTCATAATTTTTGTTACAACACCCCTTTTGTGTACTAATGAAACAATATTGTTGGCTCCAGATTGTGACCTGTAAATCCCTGGCCTAGGTCAGCTCAGAAACTTAAGACTGGTCCAAAACCCTATGATCTGGTGGTTCTGGGCAAAATCTGAGTTTCTGACACGCCCCTGCAATGGGTCTTACAGGTCACACTCTGGAGCCTGAAAAAATGTTTTGTTAGTACAACAAAGAGTTCTTTCACTGAAAAATATGAAAAAATCAAAGGAGCACAGATGATCAAGAAGAAATCTAAGGCACCTTTCTACTCATTTTTAACTTTTTTTTGTGCTGGTGAGAGTTTTCTACAGGAAAACATGCCTGTACTTTTCTTTTCTGGACGGAAAATATTATTTTTGAGGTAGTGTACGCAGGTTTAAAGTTTCTTGATCTGATTAAATCCCAAATCAGATCAAGCAGCACTTAAGGACTACCTCCTTTATAGTTTGATTCCACGAATGGTAATCAACAACTATTACAAAAACTGTGACTAAGACCAGTCACAGTAAATTGGGGAAATAGGAACCACGAGACAAAGATAACAATCACAAATAAGATGGTGAAGTTTCACTTTACTGAAAGCTTATAATCTAGTTGGTGATGAGGTTCTATTGTATAATAAAAATGTTAAAGATGTAATGTGATGATGATTCTGAATTTCGCATATTCAAGGTTTTATAGTCTGAAGTTTGAAAATCCTATGCGCACAATTTGTGGTTCCAAGGTTAGGTTTATACTACATATTAGTATTGACTTATCTACTTGGTTACATACATGTTGCATGTGTGTAATGTATGTAATCTTTTAGGAAATATAAAGTCGTGTAGTCACACAGTCTTTTACATAGGTTTTACATGTGTTACATATGTTAATTCATATGTTGTCAGCCCTGAGTACTAAACCAGCGTACCAATGGGCGACAAATATATTAAAAAAACCTTAAAAACAGCAATTACAACTCAAGGCTCAGTTTCAAGAGTCAAGTTACATATGATTTGGCATATGTAACATGTGCAAAACTTACATCAAAGAGTGTGTACGTACACAACTTTGATGTGAACCAAAACTACATATATTTCACAGACGTAACACATATGTAACAAGTGAAATATACTTATAACCCAATAGTAACCGTGTTACTGTAATTAACCTAACCTTAGAACCACAATTTGTGCGCACTTGTAGTCCAAAGATTCTCAAGGTTCAGACTATATAAACCCTGAAGATCACACCAGTTTTTGAATCATCACTTTAACATTCAACAACTTTACCAATTGCTCATTTCATCTTCCTAGAACTTTTTAACTTTGTCTAAACATCTACAAACTTTAAAAGCCTGATTCTACAAACTTTGAATCTTCAACCTTGTGTCTTGTTGACTTTATTGTGTGCGCATTCAAACTTTGTTACTATCTGATTAGACTCTATAATCAGTTATTTTAGTAATATCCATTTGGTGGAATTACGTGTAAGGAAGTAGTCCTTGAGTAAGGCTTATATCAGATCAGGGATTTATCTGATATAAGAAACTCTAAATCTACGGGGAACCTCTATTAGTCAGAGTTTAAAGTTCCTGGTGTTAAGACAGACTTTAACACCTCCTTTATTGATCATTCTTTGTGCAAGAAGTGACTCAATTCAGGCTTGAGAACTGCGCGTCAGTTGCTCCATTTTAATTGTTGCTAATAAGAACAATTACCCAAAATCCCTGGGCGTAAAATCCTTTGTTAAAAGGTCATTTAACTGGAGTCTTTACTTGTTTATTACAAGTAAAGCTTCTACGCCCACGTCTTTAAAACACTCCAACTCGTGGATTGTAATCCCCACGAGTCAAGTAGAAGTTTGTTGAACTTCTGTCTCCTTTTTTATTGACTCTACTAGCCCAACAGACGCTAGTAGGCTCACATATGTAGTTTGACTCTTGAAACTGAGTCTGAGTTGTAATTATTGGTTTTTAATGTTTTCTTATTGTTATTTGTCAGCCTATGGTACTATTGTTCAGTACTCAGGGCTGACACTATCACTACACAGAATGTAATCTTTACCGGGCGGTAAAGAAAACTACTGACATAGAAAAATCCTGAGGCAACAGGAAGAGAGCTAAAAATATGAAAAAATATGCACCTTGTTCCTAGATGTTGGGGCGTCATGATGAGTATTTTTTTTTATTTTACACACAGATATTGGTTAATGTACTAACAATAAAGGCTGAAAATCATCAAAAACCCACCTGTAACAATACCTGAAATTTGGCCCATGATTTTGAAGACAGGATTTTGAAATCTTCAAACATCAATAACTTCTGCAGTTCCAAATCAAATCACTTGATCTATAGTACATCAAAAAGGTGAGTCTTTCCTCTACATTTATCATTGAGACATCACATCTTTAGCCGGTCTGCAAAAGATCCTACAGAGCTATTTATTCAGAACTGTTTAAAGGAGAATGGCTCAGCTTTTGAGTGAACCAAAAACCAAGTGATTTGGAGCAGAATTGCAAAAGTCATTGAAGTTTTTAGACCACAAAATATTGTCTTCATAATCATGACCCAAATTTCAGGTATTGTTACAGGTGGGTTGTTGATGATTTTCAGCCTTTATTGTTAGTACATTAACCAATATCTGTTTGTAAAATACAAAGAAATACTCATCATGATGCCCCAACATCTAGGAACAAGGTGCATATCTTTCTCATATTTTTAGCTCTCTTCCTGTTGCCTCAGGATTTTTCTATGTCAGTAGTTTTCTTTACCGCCTGGTAAAGATTACATTTTGGGTAGTATATGCTAGCATGGCCAACACCATCCCCGGGTCAATCCCATTTCCTCAAATGTTGAAATTCATCTGTTTGACCAGTACTGAATCAAATTTACTTGACTTGGTTGCTTCTGACCCAAAGTTCAAATCAAGAGACTCATTCAAATCATGCAGTCCATGTCATGTCGAGATCAGTATAGGCGAGCAAGGTAGAATTATTAAAACTATGGTTGGTAGTGCCGAGAAGCGTCAAAGGTCGGACCAGCAAGTATTACTCTGCCAACTTGAGGCTGAGCCACAAAACTCACTGAATTTGGGAGTCAAGGATACTGTTGGACTCCTGACATTGATGGCAATTCATATATGCCATTGGAAATTCAATATTTGAACTTCTTGTTTTAGTTGGTTTCTACAACATAACTAAATGTTGTCTTGAAGTGTAGTTTTTGATAAATATTCGGTCCGAGATTTGACGCTTCTTGGCATTAGCAACCATATAGGAAAAGGAACTGTCGCCATCAAATTAAAATATGGTCAATATGATATCAACAATGCTTATCATGTCCCTGCACTTCATCATAACCTTTTCTCTCTCACCCCGTTTTGGAAAAAGGGTGTTCAACTTGTCTATTGTAGTAGCGACTTATTTATGCTTAAGAAGAATGATAGCATCATGTTAGATGGAAATATCATCAATAAACTTTTAATCTTATACATTGAAATTATCAAATCTACTCAATCAAACAATGCACTTTATACTCCAGCAATATGGCATAAATGTCTAGGACATCCTTGTGAAAAAAACATTCAAAGAGTGTCTGTATGCACTAAAGGAATAAATTCAAAAATTGCCCCTTTACCTTTCTGTGAGTCTTGTGCATTAGGAAAATTGACTAGAAATGAATTTCCTGGCAGCATTCCAAAACCATCTTTGCCACTAGATGTCATCCATTCAGATTCAAGCAGAAACATTACACCATCATCTGTAGGCGCCGCTCAATACTATGTTAAATCCATTGACTTCATATTGCTGGCTCTATCCACTCAAAAATGAAGCGATTTTACAAAAAAATTCAAGCAATTCAAAACCTTTGTTGAAAATCAATTTAGTAGAAAGATCAAAACTTTAGTCAGTGATGGAGGAGGAGAATATGTTGATCATGTGATGGAGGAACTATGTAAATCTTCTGGAATACGCCATCAGATCACTGCTCCTCATACACCACAGCAAAATCCCATTTCAGAGCACGGAAATCACACAACTGTAGAAAAGGCAAGAACCATGATTGCTGAATCATCACTCCTATCATCTTTCTGGGGAGGAGTCGTTCTTACAGCAACATATTTGGAGAACAGATCTCCATCAGCTTCAGCAAACTTCAAAACAGCCTATGAACTTTTTCACAACAGACAACCCAATCTAAAACATATAAAGACTTTTGGGTGTGCAGCCTATTATAAGCATATTGCTCCAGCTAACAGAAATGGAAAATTTAATAGTTGGGCTGAGAAATGTATCTTGCTGGGTTTTGTTGAAGGCACAAAAAACTATTGTCTGATTTGTATAGAAGATAGAAAAATGATTATCTCACATGATGTGATTTTTAATGAAGATGAATTCCCAAAAATCAACTCAAAACCATCTCATTATTCAGACATTCAGATCAAAAATGAAGATGACAATTTTGAAGATGACTTTCCTGAAGAGATCAATGTGAACAACCAAAACATGCCAGATCTGAATGAGAATTGCGAAAATGTCGAAGAGGAAGGTTTACATCAAAATGATCAAAATAATCAAAACCAAGAACAAAATCCTCAAGGTAACCCTTTCAAAATTTAAATCCACAATCCTGTCTTGGCTGATGAAACGTGTGAAGAGAGAAGGGATCCTTCTCAATGTAACCTCCAGAGATCAGATTGCTTATGTGGAGTTCCTGCTCCAAATGTGTCAGTAATGATTGCTCAAGGCTCAGCGTTCATTGCACAAATTGGCAACAAAATCAAATCTTCATTACCATATACACCTCTCAAAAATATCATCAATCCTGCAAGTTACTCTGAGGCTGAACTTGGATCCGACTGGTTGAAATGGAAAGAAGCTGTACATGATGAAATTGAATCATTCCAGAACAAAGTATACAAGCCTTGTATATTGATTCCAGCTTATCAAAAGTCCATTGGTACTTGTCTGATTTTGAATAAGAAACTAGACGGTAGATACAAAGCCAGATGTGTGGCTCAAGGATTTCACCAAACAGCAGGAATTGACTATCATGAAACATTCTCCCGGCTGGTAGAATTGCTGCATTGAGAGCTCTAGGTGCAATTGTTGGTTTAGATGATCTTGAATTCAGATTTTTTCCTTTACCTCATTCAACTTTTATTCTTCATCTCATCACTGTAAGTCAATCCTACTCATTCCTTTGACTGCGATAAAAGATTGCTATCTGATTTTCTGATTTGTAATCTTTTTAAAGTTCAGGTGTACGCCTGCTCTCCATTTTATTCTGGGTTGTGGGGCAGTATTGGCCATCAAAACTAGACAAAGCTTAGGATGGAGTTCTATTTGATTGATTAGACACAGTATTAAATTAGGTGTAGTCCTCTTGGTATGCAGAATTGTTCATTGGAAACTTGGTCTATACATCATTCACTTATACTATGTATTGAATCAAAAAAACCGATCTTGAACCAATTATTGATGTCTCAAAGAATTATTCAAAGTTGTGGAGATGGTGAGTTGACCTTTCAGCTTCTATTCCTTTGATAATTTCAATCCGCTAACCACATCCATCTTTGTGAACAAAAATCAAATGTAATATTATGATAGTACTCTCGATCATTTTGCCAATCTTGTATCTTATCTTTGTTCAATCCACTTTGTGGTTTTTGATATCTCGGTCAATGTTGTGTGATTGATGCTTAGCATTTCATTGGAACTCATTTTCTCAAGCAGTTTGATATAAGGCTTTTGACTTTTAACAGCCACAATTAACAGCCCACCAACACCTGATTGCTGTTGTTTTCTCAGGAATTTTTCTCATTTAAAATCTGAGTCTTCTTCCAACAATAAATTAACTTATTTTAAATCAAACAAAACTCTTTGCATAAGTTCTTCAATTGATAATTTATCTAGTGTATTCTTTGTAAGCAATACCTTTGTTCTCTTAATCATTAGTGGTGTACACCCGCCAATATCAACCTACACCAGCACATCCTCATTGTTCTTAACTTCATCACATTTACACACATTCAACTATCTTACATTATCTTCAGTCAGCTAACCTTTTCAGACAGTTGATTAGTTTCAGCACAACATGGATTGTAATGTAATCAACACTTTTTCATGATCACTTACCACTTTCTCTCAATTCTAATCATCATTCTGTTGCTATTCTATGTTCTATTTATTCAATGTGGGATTCTGATTACACCGTTTTGAATGTAGTAGGTCAAGGTGCTTATGTTGCGGTATGATGAGTCTCTTGATTCTTGGTTTGGTGAACAGTTATCAAAACTGATTGAATGCTTATCACATCAGTTTGGTTTTCTTCCAAAGCTCTGTGGTTCATGAGCCTTTGAAACAAAAGGTTGTGATCAAGAAGATCACATTTTTCAATCATTCAAGTCTGTTTCTCTCCATTTCTCTCACTCATCTGTGTATCTTACTGAACCTGAATTTGGATTGATTCAGTAGTGTTTTGCCTGAGAATTTTAAGAGAGATCAAACTCTTCAGATGGTTCTCACATAAGAATATCATTAGTATTTTAGATATTGTCAAACCTTCATCAATTGAAGAGTTTTCAGAAGTTCATTTGATTCAAGCCTCAATGGAAACTGATATGCATCAAATGATTTGGTATGTGATCTTATCAACTCTCCTTCTTTTACTGGTTGCAACCTTCATATCCTGACTTGTTTTTTTTTCTTAATCATTTGTTTTTGATAGTACTCAAGATCTTTCTGATGATCATTATTGGTAGCTTCTTTACCAAAAGGTCTCAAGGCACTCCATTCAGCTGTGTAGGTGTCTTGCCCTTGACTTCTCTCAAGACGATCTAAATCTCTTCCTAATCTGCATAATGTTACCACCCTGATTCCATTACGATCAGTGTACTGATGAGGAATTGGAGCCTTTGAATTTACTCCTCAACTCCAACTGTGATCTTAAGGTAAGCACAGGTGAGGATTGGGAAGAGGGTGTGGAGGAGGTGTCACATGTTATTTGATATGTTATTGTGTCTTTTGTTTCATTTGAATGGTTATGTGTTTTGCTCACTTGAATATATGTTGTTGCTATGATACACTTCTATCTATTTCTTAACTAACCTGTGTGCATGTTAACTCTCTCATCTATTGTGTCCAGACTATAAAGTCTTCTATATGTGTGTCAGCACTTGGCTAGAACTTCATCTGCTCAAAGCCTTTCTGTTTTTTGATCACAACTTACTTACACTACAAAAAATATAATGTTTTCCGGGCAGAAAACGCAAACATTGATATACAAAAATATTGAGCGGTGAGGAGGAGGGCAAAAAATACAAAAAAATATGGCTGTTGTTCCTGGTGTTGAGAGCTTCAATCTGAGTATTTTTCTGTATTTTTAGAGTGCATATTGTTGAACGTACTAACAAAAAACTCCATATTCATCAGATATACACCTGTAACAGATGCTGAAATTTGGTTCCTCAGATTGGAGAGGACAATTGGAAATCTACAAATGCTCATAAATTTTGCAATTGGCAAGGAAAACACTCGATTATTGGTTCATTAGAAAGCTGAACTCTGTCTCTAGATCTTTCATTGAGGTGATGGGGCTGTGTCCAGCTTTGCAAAGAATCTATGTGCCTTTGAAGAAGATATTTCAAAGTGACTATAGCTGCCTTGTGAGAGAAAATGAAGCCTTGAATCATTATTAAGACATTTAGAGAGAGACTGTGGCTTTCTAATGAGCCTAAAAGCGAGTCTTTTGAGCAAGAATTGCAAATTTTATGAGCATTTGTAGAATTCAAATTGTCCTCTCCAATCTGAGGAACTGAACTTCAGCATCTTGCACAGGTGTATATCTGATGAATATGGGGTTTTTTGTTAGTACATTCAACAATATGCACTCTAAAAATACAAAAAAATACTCAGATTGAAGCTCTCAACACCAGGAACAACAGCCATATTTTTTTGTATTTTTTGCCCTCCTCCTCACCGCTCAATATTTTTGTATATCAATATTTGCGTTTTCTGCCCGGAAAACATTATATTCTTTGTAGTGTTACTTACGTATAACATGGGAATCTGTGCTTGACTCATAGTTCATGAGCCTTTTACCCCAATAAACACAGGAGTTTGCATATATGTCATTTCATTTCCTCTTCAATCAATCAACTTTGTCATAATGGCTTCTTTGCCTATTGACTCTGGTTCTCCAGCACCTGATTCTTCCTTTTCCAAATCCCCCCCTCCCTATGTTGCTACAACCAACATTTTCATAAAGATTTCGGAGATCAGAATATGGGGGGTGTTGGGATGCCCACAGACCCCCAACTTTGGGAGTTGATGGTTACGTCTGTGTTGGAGTTATTCAAGTCTGACAGACCGCAAATCAAAACATGAAATGAAATTCATGGGAAATGGCTTGGGAGGATCAACTTTAACTCAAGTGGGTTAATGGTCATTGGATTATGCTGTTTGGATAGTCACAAAGTGAAAGTTAATACTTGGGGGGTATTAGTACATTTACGTGGTACATCCCAAGGATTAGGCGGGATAAGAGTCCAATATCCTGTTGCGGGCGCACCTGCCTGGTTTCTACTCATACAAAGCAACTAAACTGGAAATGCAATATCAGAATTAGGGAGCGTCAAGTGTGCTCTTTATACATATCTTTTTGTCATGACCGGTTCCAAAATACGTAAAAGGAATTAAAACTCCAAATTGTTTTGGATGACTGTAATTCAGAATGTAATTGTTTGATGAAAACGGATTTTCTAGAAAAACATGCCCAAATTTGTAAAATTTAACAAGAGAAAATTGAATTTAAAAGACCTCTTAGGACACGTTTACCTAGCGTTGATTTCTAGAAATCGCATCATGGACACCTCTTTTCTACATGTAGAAAAGCGTCTTTTTAAATCTGAAATTTCACGTTTTGTGAGAATTTGTGAAAAAAGACGCAACAAAGTGCTTATACAAGCGTTGAGGACATGATCATACAAAATTTATTCTACAATCACTCATACAATCACTTTTCTATGATCCTGCCTCGGAAACAACTTGTTGTTAATGAATCCAATGCACAATAGGACTTTGCTAAGTTTGCTATGATCTCATCCACCATCTGAAACTTGTTCCTTTCAATCTCTCACTCTTTTTCACTTCTTGAACTACTCAGATTCAAGCTCGTTCCATTTTGTAAGTTGATACATAAAATAATTATGCAAAAATCACATGATTCACAAATAAAGGATACAATAATTCCGTGAAGCAACTGAAGTTGGAAAGCAATCAATTGGTAAGTAACACATACTATAATCAAGTTGAAGGAGTCAAAGACAAAGATGGGTGAAAACAAAATCCTTTAAAAATTTATGCAAATAAAAACAACGAGTTCATCAGCACCAATCAAAAAAGCGATGGGGAAATACAACCCACTAGATGCAATCAAAACAATCTCTGAAGGGATCCTGTGAAAATTGTATTGAAATCGAGTGTAGAGGTGGTGAAATTGATTGAGCTGTTCTTTGAGGCGAGTCTTGACTCTTGAGGAGGGAAACTTGGAGAGTCAAGTTGAGTGGTTGAATTGATTCATCATGAAATGAGAAGGGTAAGGAATGGTGGTGATGACGGTGGAATGACGGTGGAAGGCGGTGGAAGATGATGATGGATGATTGAGAGTTGAGACTATGTATGGTGAAATTTGACTTCAGGTCTTTGCATGGATGGGGACTTGTCCAAATTTGGGTCAAGCTTGAAAAGCAGTGGTGAAAGAGATGTGAAATGCTCACAGAATGTGATTTCTAGTCGGAAGATTGTAATATTATCACATGCTTGAAAAGCAATCAAAAAAGTCTTTTTATAAGCATTCTGTGATTTCTAGAATGCTTGTGAATAAGATATCAAACGCATTTCACAGAAAGCAATTCTTTGAATTACAGGATGTGATTCCTTGCAAAAAATTGCTTAAGTAAATGTGCCCTTAGTGTATTTTATAACTTGTTGTTTGAGACATTTTTATGCCAGGATAAGTTAATTGTTCTTGTAGAATACTTGCAAGAATTTCAAAGAAAGACAATTTTATAGGTGGCCTGAATTAAAAATACTCATAAAATACTTCTTGCAAAAAACATGCCTCAATGTATGAAAATCAATTTCAAAAAAACTTGAAGCCTGTATTATGGTATTACAAGTTATATGGACTGGCCACTCTACCTGTCCCTTTGAGTGCATGACTGATATCAACTTTGGTGATTTCCACTAGGTTGGTCTGGTCTGCTTGCACCTTGAGCACAGCCCAACATGACACAGATCCAAAGATTCTTCAGTATTGCCCATTCTCCATGGACCGGCAAGGAGCCATGACTTACAAAGGTTCAACCATCATCAGACTCCATTGTGATGGAGTCATCCATCAACAAGAGGCAATTCTCCTGACTACTATTGGGCTGGTCAGAAACAAGAAAAAATATTAGATCCTGCCAAATACTGATCATAAATATCCACCTTGTGGGACTCACCTTGTCTGCCACGCTACCAGTATCCCCCTCATTATCATCTGGCAAGCCGGCTTGATCCTGCATTGACCCCTTCTACAAGAAAGAACCAAACTATCAGCTTGTCTCAACCTACCCAAAGACACAGCAACTGTTGTCAATACATAAGACCCACAACTCCCATCCCATCCAATTGAAGTATAAGACTTACATAGTTATTTGGTTATCTAATCTAAGATTCTTTCCTTTCTGATTCTTTTCTCATATCATATCAATGTCATCATTTCTTACTAAACCTATGATATCATTGCTGTGCGTATGATGTAATGCTGTGTTATGCTGTGACCTTTTTGTTGGTATAAATTGGTGTTGACTTCGTCTACTTGTTTTCCTTTTCTTCACCGATTTCTACCTTTACTTCGAGCAGGTAACTACTGCTCTCATCGGTCATAGAGACTATCTTCTCTAACTCTAGCTAACTTAGCATTCTATCAGGTAACTACTGCTCTCATCGGTCATAGAGACTATCTTCTCTAACTCTAGCTAACTTAGCATTCTATCAGGTAACTACTGCTCTCATCGGTCATAGAGACTATCTTCTCTAACTCTAGCTAACTTAGCATTCTATCAGGTAACTACTGCTCTCATCGGTCATAGAGACTATCTTCTCTAACTCTAGCTAACTTAGCATTCTATCAGCTTCATAACCAACTCGCAATTGGTTATGAGCCCAGTGCTTACAGATTTTTAAACTCAACCTTTTAAATCAACATTTAAATCGACCGATACGTTGTCATGGGTCATCATGACAGTGGAACTAAACATTCCACCATCGAGCAGTTAAACGATGATAATTTTTCGCAATGGCGTGTTAATATGTATGGCTGGATGTTGGAGCATTCTCTTGGAATTTTTGTTTCCACTCCTCATCCAACTATTCCCAATCAACGTAATCGTGCTTTTGGGGTCATTATTCAACGTCTAGATCAAGCTAGTAATGCTAGGTTTTTAAATGAAGAGAACACTTTGAATCCTAATCTTTTATGGGATGCTATTCTTGAGCATTATCAATCAACTGATGCGGCTAGTCAAAGTCGTGTTTTTACAACTTTTCTTCGAATCTCTTTCTCTACTTTATCTCAATTCATAAAAGATATAAGACAAGGGATGAAAGCTCTTGTTGATTCTGATGTTACGAATGTCATTGGTGATGTGCTATTAGCTGAAATCATAGTTCATAAACTTCCTGAATCTTTATCTACGTTCAAAGAACTTCAATACTCTAAAAGACCTTTAACCACTTCTGCTGTCCTTGTTGCTCTTGATAATCACCACGCCGACGATCGCGAAAACAATCAA